GCCGCCAGGGAGATGGCCCCCCCTCCCCCTTCCCGCCGAAGAAACCTCCATCAGTCGTCACGTGGCATGCGAGAGGGTGGTTTGGAAGCGTTAACAGTCTGAAGGATCGCGATTTCCCTCGTTGGCGTACGGGGCTGCTGGAGAGGCACCAGACTGCGTGGACCCAATAGTGTCGCGGGCATTCTGTGGGCGCGGTCGAAGGGGCCCCCTTTCGCACGATGTGTTCCAGGATGCCCGCCCTGGCTGCGCTCCTGGGCACATGGTCTCGGTTTGAAGCGGCGCCGCGTAAATGGGCGCGCTTCCGGGCTTCACTCTGATGTCTCCGATTCCAGGTAAGGCGTCGTCTCTGCTAGGATGGGGAGAAGCTGGTCTGCCTGGGATCGTCTTTGTCCACGTGCCGAGTGTCGACGCAGGGACTGGTTATTATGGCATTGTCTCTCCGTTGTGCGCTCCGCTCTACTTCTCGCATCCTCCTTGGGGACTTCAATTCTGCCTTTTAGTGATGAGGGCAGATTCGACGTCGATGCAGGGGCTGCCAGTCGCGGGGGCTCTGCCTTCATTCGCGACTGGAATGAGTGTTTTGGACGCTGGACTGAACTGTTTCAGCCTCAGGATACTCGACGTGCTTGCTCTGGTCCGAAGATAGTCTCCACCGTTCGTCTCGACCGCGTTCATTTTGATATCCCTCCTGCTGTTGTCATGGATCTCGTGGTCTGCGGTTCGACGACCGGCGCTCCCGCCGACTTGAAGAACCCTTCAGAACACGTTCCCGTTGCGGTTGCGATCTCAACGAATCCGCGGCTACAGGGCGGCCCCCCCAACTCCTTCCTGGGCCCCGTCGACGTCTGCGTCCCAGGGGCAATGGGCCGATCGTCTGCAGGGGATTGATGCGAGGCCCCCGATTCTGATTCGACTGTCTCGCACGAAAGACGCCACGCACGTAGCGCGCGCCGAGTCCTCGGAAAGTTTCGCGATGTCGCGGGGCGAAGTCTCCGTCCTCATGAGTTTCTTCGCTGGCGCATTGCCGCCCTCCGTTAATTTCGCACCGGCGCGCGGTATCTGGTGGCGCGCGCCGTTCGTAGTTAGCCCGGCCTCTCTATCTTCTTTGACACTGGCGCTGGCACATTCTATAACCCCGCGGGGCTGCGCGCGCACATTGGAGCTCTGGGCGACCAGCTCTTGGACGCCGAAAAGGAAGCTCGCGGCAAGCGGGCGACCTTCCCGACCGCGATGCCGCGCGAAGACGCGCACGTATCATGTGCAATCGCGAGCGTTGGCGGCCCTTCAATAAGTCTGTGCGTCGTGGGAATATCATTATCGAGGATTGGGATATTCCGTGCTCCTCGGCCCAGCATGCTGGCAACGAGCTTGCTCGTTGCTGGGGCGGGGCGTTTGCTGCGCGCGAACCCGACCGCGCACTTTGGAGCACGCCTCGCCCGCGCATCCAGCATGCCGATGTGCTACCCCCTGGCTCGGAGCGGGCTCTCACTCGTGAAGAGTTCGCAGAGCTTGTGAAGCGCGCTGGGGATTCAATGCCTGGCATAGATGGACTGCCGTACAGCTGATGGAAGCATGCAGGATCTCAGGATGCGCTGCTTGCTGTCTACTGCCGCTGTATCTCTCATCCTGATGTTCCTCTCCCATCATATTTCCACGACATGCTTATGGTCTTCTAGCGAAGGGCGACCATCCCTCTGATGCGTCTGCTGTTCCTGCTCGCAAGCCGTCGTCTACTCGGCCGCTCTCCATGGGATGCACTGATTGCAAGCTCATCGCGGCTGCCGTCGCTTACCCTCTCACCAGAGTCAGCGCAGCGTTACTTCAGAAGCTGCAGTCTGGGGGAGTTCCAGGGAGGTCGATTTTGGACAACGCCATCCACTGCGAAGAGGATGGGGTTTTGGCCCATCTGGAGGGAAAAGAGGACTTGGTCCAGCTCCGTACTGACTTCAAAGCTGCGTTCCCCAGTCTATGTGCGGAATTGGCCGCGCATGTCTTCGGGGAGATGGGCATTCCGTCATGGGCGGTGAACTTCTTCAGAAATCTCTATGTAGATAATACAGCGAGGGCCCATTTCTCTGGCGCCCCTCCGCGTGGGTCGCGGGTTCCGACAAGGGCGCCCTGCCTCCATGCTCCTGTTCGCCCTGGACCCGGTCTGCAGGTGGCTTCTCGAAACAGGCCCCTTGGGCTTGGACTCTCAGGCTATGCCAACGGCCTAAGGTTCCGTTTTGAGAACGCGTTTACCGATTCGTCCTTTATTATGATAAGATCGGCCTCCTCTCGACAGAGGCTGCGCTCGAACTACACTTTGGAAAATGTGTTGTTCTGGTGGGAAGCTCTCGGAACCTTCAAGACTTTTCGACTTTGCTGCGTCTGCGGGGTGGGGCTGCGGACGTTTCCGGTTTGTTCCGTGGTGCCGCCGTCTGGGAGCCCCTGTTGGTCCTGAGGCAAATGTCCACAGGTTCCCCAATCAATGCGATAAATGCTTCTTCCGTGCCTGTAAGATTCGCGGGGTGGAAGTGGGCTTGGCAGAATCGCCTGTTGCATACAATGTGCGGGATGTGACTGTCCTCGGCCGTGTGCTCCTGTTCCGCCGCCGTACCCCTCGTCTCTTCCAGCTAGAAGATCGCGCCCTGCAAACTATTAATTCGTGCTCGCGTTGCAGTTTCAGTGGCAAAATGATGCATGTCCTTGACGACGCAGGATGCAACGCGTTCTGCCATTCGATTGCCTTCATTGCCAAAGCCGTTGTGTTTCGAGCGGCCATGGGCTCTAGTGCCATGGCCGAATATGTGGAAGCGTTTGCGGAGATTCGCCGCTCCTCGAATGACCTGGCCCCTGCCAGATTGGTCTCTGGGTGGTTCGCAGACTCGTTTCTCTCGTGCACGGTTGATCCGGTGGCTGAGACCACCCCGATAGCAGCCGCTATTGACCGTGATCCAGTGAAGGTGACCCAGGCGAGATTGGCCAGATGTCTGCGCAACGCTGCGAAGCCATGGGCGATCATCGGATGAATTCCTGGACGAGTCCTGAAGTGGCCCCTTTCCCCGCTCGATTGCGCCGCATGGTCTCCAGTTTTTCAGGCTCGGAGACGAAAGGTTCGCCGCTCCGTTTCCATGTGTTTAGTTTCCGTCGTCTTGCGGGCCTTCTGTCGCGGGCATTGGGTCGCTGCGAGGTTTCGCGCCCATCCGAAAACGTGGTTTTTTGGGTTGTCGCCAAGGCCGCGATGACCAGTGTCACTACGTCCAGTGCCGTCGTGTCCTCTTTCTTTTTGTTCGTTATGGGCTCTTTGTTTTGCCCTTCGGCTTCGCCTCTCCTTTCCTTGTTCTGCGTTGCGTCGATGGCTGCGCGCCCGGTGCCACAAGATGTCGCCTTCTGCGCCTCGGTCGACAGTTTTGTTCGCGCGCGTTCACAATTTCGTCGTCGGACAGTTCTAGGACGCGCGGCCGTTAACGCATTATGATGCAAGGGCCGTTTACGCATTCTGATGCAAGGGCGCCCGGCGATTCGGTCGGGTTGCTCTTCAGTATCTCCGCAAGCCTGGCGGTTAGATGCCCGTTATTGTAGTGGTGGTTGTTTCGAAAATCGGCCCCGTGGTCCGCCTCCTCCTCTCCCTGCCTGCTCGGTCCGCGGGCCGTCCTTTCTTTTGTTCGGGGGTTCTTTCTTCGGTCCTCGGGCGTTCTGGCCGCTGCCGCTTGCTCTCTTTGTGACTCCCGACGATGCCTCTCTCGTGGGGTTGCAGTTCGATGGTCTCCGTGCCGCCCGCCGCGCACCCTGCTCTCTTGATTGGTACAGTCGACCAGTCGAATTGGTTTGCGTGCCGATATGGGTCGCGTTGGAATTCGGGCCCCATTGCCGATTTAGGGAAGCGGTCCAGCGCCCTCTTGCGCAGCTCAGCTGATGCGTCTAAGCTGGGTCATCCCTTGTTGGCCCGTCGCAATCAATGCTGCCCGCGGCCGTGCGCGAGGTCGGGGCAAGTTCAAGGCGCCTTGTCCGCCCGCCGCTGCAGCTCGTCCCCGCCAGCCGCCTCGAGATTCTTCCGGTGACTAGCTTAGATTCGAGTTTTGGCCATGATCGGTCGATCGGCCCCCCCATCAGTCCTCCCTCCTTGCTGCTGGTTGCCTGCTGTTTCCCGTGGCGTCCACCCTCTGCGTTGGTTTGGCTTCTACGGCGCCAGAAGCCTCGAACTGGTGATGCATCTGCTCGAATGAAACGACCGCTGGACTGTGCTCCCTATCTGGCATCGGACTTGAGTGGGCTCTTCGCATTGGTTGTCATCGGTTTTTGCCGTTGCTGCCTGCCTGGGTAAAACAGTCCACCCTCATCATCGTCATCATCATCAGCATCAGCCGCACCATCATTGCAAACACCATAAGCATTACCATCGCCATCACCATCATCGTCCTCTCCCTCCTCATCCTCTTCCTCTTCCTCCAACGGGGCTGCATGAGGGGGGGCGGCGACCCCTCCCCCCCCCGCCGCGAACCCTCCCCCCTCCTCCCCCCATCCTCCATAGGATGGGGGAAGGCGGAGGGGCAGGAAAGGCGAGGCGGATGGGGGGGGGGTGCTGGAGGGGCCGGGGGAGGAGGAACGTGGAGCAGCAGCAGCAGCAGCAGCAGCAGCAGCGAGGAACTCCCGCCCCCTGGCCGCTCACACCCCTGCCCGCCAACTTCCAAGCCTTGCAGTGGAGCAGCGCCCCAAAGGGCACTTGGGGCGGGCGCGCGGACTTTATCGCCAGGGGGGGAGCGTTTTTGTTTCATTGCCATTCACTGATAAACCCGAGGATACGGGGGTCGCGCGGACTTTTTGGTTCGGCGCTGAGCCGCCCCGTGGCAGGCGCACCGGGAATTGCGCCACAGGCATTGCCAGGAGGGTCGAATACTCCAATGCCGACCCAAGAAATCCGCGCGGACCTCCGACAGGTTGTGCTTGTGTCATTCTTGTTGTTCTTGTCTAGCGTCAGGATGTGTCGAGGAATGGCGCGTGTAGCATCACCGAAAGAGGTGTCACGGAGTTCGAGGGTTTCAAGGTGCCGCCGACCAGGCGCGCGGCAGTTTCTTTTTCCCCCCCCCTTGTCCCCAGAGATCTGCCAGCAGGGCGCTGTAGCCACGGCCACGACGGCGGCGGCATCGGAGGGCGGAGGGCGCTCAAAATTACCAGGGTGCGCGGCTTCCCGCGCGCGTAGTTTCTAGGGGTATCGGCATCGGGTTCAGGGAAGTGTTCCGGGAGGGCGCTTCGACGTGTCAAAAGATTCAGCTGCTTTGGCTTGAAAAAGGCAGAATCGACCGTGGCATGGGGAGTTCCGAAAGGGGGCCTTATCGCTATCGTATATTGGAAGCCGATCCTCACACGATTGAGGCTGGTCTTGCCTGGTCTCACCTTCTCCATCGCCCTCCGCTCCGCTGTCCCGTCGCGCCCTGGTGGGAAAAATCGAGGGCACGACATGGGGGAATGGCTGATTTTTCCAAAAAGGCAAGGGTCGACACAACTCCCAAACTAACTTCAGCGTCGTGAGTTTTGTTTCACAACGTGGACCACGGTGGCCAAAATCCTTTCCATGGGACAAGTTTTTCATGCTGGGCCGTGTTTTCGATAGTCCCCGGGCCCGGTGAATGCCCCCCGAGGCCGATAATGGCTCACGTGTCGCGAGGGGATCTGGACTTGTAGGCTTCACAGGCCCCCACCCTGCGCACGGCGTCGCGGAAAAGGTACGGAAAGCCTCGCGTACTGGCCCGGCTCACGCAGCGGGGAGATCGACAGCGATATTTGACCAGGGGCAGCCGTGCAGCCGTGAGGTGACAGACGGGGAATGGCGGAGAGACGGGGAAGGAGAAAAAGGGGAAGATGAAACACCGCAACAGTACCAGCCAGCAAGCGAGGCGCAGCGGGAGGCGGCAACGGCAGCTACCCGAGGAAAGCAAGGCCAGGAGCTTTGGCCCAGGCAGGGGCCGGCGGGCCCTGTGCCTCCTCGGAAGTAGGCGCCGGGATCTCGGGATCAGGGCCGGCGGGGCCTCGAGCTCCTGCACCGGAGGCGATCGGGCATTCCAGGCTGCCTCGGCAGTCGACTGCGCAGATATTCGCCCAGTGTGGCCTTGACGGAGGGGACCCAGAAGATTTCTGGGTTGAGTTCGCATTGTTCAAGGGTTCTTCGCCCCTGGGCCCCATGTCTCAGGGCCCGAATTGTGAAGCGCCGATTCGCGCGGCGAGCTGCCCGCGTCGCACGACCACCCTCTTCTCCGCGCAGCGAGCTGCATTGGTAGCCCGCGTAACTAAGCCGCCACTTGGAGTCGCTATGTTCTCTCGCGCAAAGACCCCCCTCACACTTGACGTCAAGAGGATGGAAGGTGTGCACCCACCAAAGGCACCAGGTGGATGTGTGGTTCTTGCGGCCTGCGAGGCCGAGCGAGGAGGCCGAAGAGAACAGCACCAAAACCCGCTCGACCCGCGCATGTGACTCGAACAGCTTCCCTTTCACGCCCATGATCGTCGTCGGTATTACAGTCGTCGTCGCTGCGGGGTAATCACATGCATCGCCAAGCATCATCACTCACGCTACCACACAGTATCAACATTGGTTCAGACCGTACAGGCCTCAGCTCTGAGCGGCAGGAGCTGACCTCGTCCTCCTGCTCGGGCGCAAATTGAAAGGGTCCCATTCACAGGTCTTTCTGCTGCGAGTATTTTGGTGGCCGCCGACGCTACGCCTACGTAGGCGCGAGGAACAGGGGGCGGAGGAGGAGGAGGTGGAGGAGGAAGAGGAACATCACGGGGTGATGGAGGAGGACGGGGTGACCGGGAAGGAGGAGGGTGTGGACGAGTTTGAGAAGGAGATGGAGGCGGAGGAGGAGGAGGAGGAGGAGGAGGAGGAGGAGGAGGAGAAGGAGGCGGTGGGTGGGAGGAAGGTGGCGGCGACAACGAGGAAGGCGCAACATTGGTGACACCTTCGCTGCTGCCTCCCTCTTTCCGCTTGCTCCTCCTGCTCGTCCTGCATCTCCTGTTCCGCTGCTCCTCTCCTCATCCTGCCGATCGCTCTCCGACGTCACGTTTTGTTTCCATACGTGGCCTCTGGACCTCGACACCCTTGCCTGAAGTGAACCGGAACAGCCTCGCCCCTTTCGGCGCGTTGGCAATATTTGATAATGATATGAACGCGTGTGAGTTAGCATGACGGTGTTCGATATTCCCGTGGCGCGCAACATGCTCTCGGAGCCGGAGGTGAGTACTTAAGAAGTGTTTGAAAAACGGTCACCAATCTCGGGCCTTGATCGTCAAACTTGCCCTCCCATCCCACCTTGTATTTTGCTCGTGACGCGCCCCCCCCCCAGGGATATCGACCATCGAGCCCTTCTCCACGGCAAGCTTTCTATCCAGAATCAATTTGTTAATTACATTGCGCATGCACACGTATCGCACGATGCAGCAAACACAACATACGTACCAATCAACATGCACGACACACCAAGCGCAGCCCCAAACGAAGTCACCATATGAGTGTTGCGCTGGTTTCGTTATTTTGCACACTAAACCGCACACCACAACTTACACGCACATTACCTTCTGGTTAGCATGCTGGAGACCGCAGCGTTAATGTTGAGCAGAAAGGGTATAGTGTTGAATGTATCGGTTATCGCATGCTACGCATAACATACCACAACACATACTATCTTGTACAAAGGTATGGCAATGAGCATGCCAAGGCAGGATTAGTATTTGTGACGCGCACACAAACCGTGTTCATATGCACACGGCGTTTCAGATGGGAAGGTCTCGTTTAATGTGGGCTTGATTGTGTTTAGCTGGTTATGTGTTGGTTTAAACTGGATGTGTTTGGTTTGACTGCGTTATGTTTGGCTGAAGCTGGTTGTGGCGTGTTTCTACTGGTGCATGCGTTTGGTTACAACTGGTGTTGTGCGGTTTCAAAGGACGATTTGTTAAACTAGTAAATTGTTATGTGTGGTTGGCATTGGTTATGTGTTTCGTCTAAACTCGCTCTTCGTGGTTTGCAATGGCGTTCGTTATTTTCAACTGGTTATCGAAGACGCCTACGGCGAATTACCGTCGCCCCCTGCCTTTTTGGAAGCGCCTACGTGGCCGAATGTTGAGGCCAGACCTGCCAAGCTATCGGACCACGTGTTCCCCGAATCGGTTTGGAAAGCCTTCGGGGAACACGTGGGCATCTCGAAGGTCATCTTGGCCGTCTGGAAGCCATTTTGACCCTTTCGGGCCTTTTTTGGGGACGTCTTGGAGGACTCTTGGGCCGTCTTGGAGGCCATCTTGAGCGTCTTGGAGACCTCTTGGGCCGTCTTCGGGGCCTCTTCGGGCCGTGTCTTGGACCTCTTGGGCGATCTTTGGGGGCACTTGGGCCGTCTCGGGCCGTCGGAAGGCAGAGAAAAAGCAAATGCCACAATCCTTCAAAAACACATGGGAGATCAATGATTTTGGCCTTGGAGATAGTTTATCGCGTTGGCCTGGCAATTTGCGGATCCGCAACTGTTGGATCAATCCAGCCGCGCGAGCCGGGGGTTCGCCCATGGAGTGGGCGAGGGCCGCCGCGGCGGGCGCAGGCGGCTTGGCGCACCTGCTGGGGAGCCTCTGGCAGGGCCAGCGGTGCACTTGCCAGGTGGACCTCGGCGAGGGGTTCTCGGTGGACCGCAAACTGCTGCGCCTGCTGGAGGGGCAACTGCAGCGGTGCGGTCCCGGCAACCTCACGGTCCCCGCGCCGTGCGCGCCACCCGAGTGCTCGGGCTACCAGGCCTTGGTGGTGCTGCTGGTCGCGGTGCTGGCGTTCCTGGCGGGCTTCGGCGCCGCGACGACTTGCTGCTGGTGGTGGCTCCACCGCGGAGAGGCGGCCGCGCAGAACAGTCTCTGCCTGCCCGAGGTTCCCAATGCCCGCTCCTCTTCGTCAGGGCCAGCGGGTGCTCGCCCCCTACGACCTGGGCCCGCGCGAGCTGCTGTGGCATGAGCGGCTGTTGCGCGCGCGCACGAGGGCGCGTGGGTGGTCGCCGCCCCGGAGCGCGACATCTACTTGGAGGACCTCCAGGAGTTGATCGAGAGTCTGGCGCCGCTTGGCCCGACGGGCGGGCTGCCGACCGGCTGGAGCCGCGGGCCGACGCACATGTTCCGCGGTTCGTCTCAGGGCCCGCTGCATCGCGCGGAGAGCTTGCGCCTGCAGGCAGAGGGCGCGGAGCTGGCGGAGCAGGGGCGGCTCGACTTGGGCCTGGGCGTTGCTCGGCCGCCGCCCCACCCCGTAGGCGCGCCGCTGCCGTTGGCGCTGGAGGGCGAGCCGCCGGCTGACGAGGGGGGGCGGCGCTATTCCGAGAGCCGGGGCGAGGCGCGCATGGGCGAGCGCGCGGACGTTGCGGAGCTGGAAGCTGGGCGTCGTCGCGGCGATCGTGGAGTAGCCCAGGCGAGCAGACGCCGGCGCCCAGAGGAGGGGCCGCGATAGGGGGGCCGCCCAGTGAGCTGCGGACGCCCCTGTGAAGCACGAGAAGTCAAGCCAGCGGCACCGCTCATACAAGGAGGCCGCGTCGCTCACCACCCCTGACATCCTCCGGCTGCATTTGTTTCAAGACGGTTGTTTTGTCTTGGCAACTCCGCCATGCTGTGATGTTGTCGGCGTTGTCTTGGTTGTTTAGGCATGTCTTGTTGTTATGTCTCATGTCTTGTTTGTGTTGCGTATGTCTTACTTTTTGTTGGATCGCGCGTTGAACGACCGCGTGGGCGATAATTCGATGCCGCCGCATTATGACGCGCGCGCGGGTGACCTACCCGCGGGCGCTTGTTGGCGCACATGCATTCCACGTTCAGATAATCGCCCGTTCCGATCAGAGAATGATTTTTTACATGGGGTTTTCACTTTTGGGTTTTCGAGTTAACATCGCTCCCGTTGCATATCAATATGTATACGAGGGCGCGGAGAGCGGCGCGCGCGCTGCATGTATATATATATATATATATGCGAATTTTGTATATTCCACATTCAGATGATCCCCATCTCGAGATCAGAGAATGATTTTTTACATTGGGTTTTCACCATTGGGTTT